CTCCCATACGACGTCTCTGAATTCTGAAACACTTGAAGCAATCTCTGAATATATTGCAGAGACCAAACCATCAATGGACACTGATCCACCCTCCGCTCCTTCTCTCTCCTCTACTCCATCTGCGCAACTCCTTTCTTCACAGCACACCGTTCCTTCGCTGCTTGAACGTTTTCCACTGCCTCCGCATGTGGACTTTTCTAACCCCTCTAGTCCGTAGGAACCCCTACCTGTGGATTTCAGGTATCTTTATCATTGCCAATCATAGCCTATTTACAGTGGAATATTCGCGGCCTCAGGGGTAATCGGGGTGAGCTTCAGATGTTACTCTCCCAGTTTTCCCCTGTTGGTGTTTGCTTACAGGAACCAAAATTACACTCTGCTGTTATCTCTCCCATCTCAGGCTATAATTTATTGTATTCTTCAGATCCTTTTCCTGATGGGACCTTTAATGAAAGTGCCCTTCTTCTACGCACTGATATTCCATACCATCAGCTATTTGTTCGTACTTCGCTGCATTACACAGCAGCCCGTATCCACTTGCATAGGTGGTATACGCTCTGTTCTTTATATCTCTCTCCTTCTCGGGCATTATCTATTCCGGATATTGCCTTTCTTGTTTCGTCATTACCACCACCGATTCTGTTACTTGGTGATTTTTTAAAGCCACCATTTCCTCTGGGGGGGGTCTCACTGTGATTCCCCTGGCATTCAGTTAGAGGCTTTTCTTGCACCCACCCCCCCCATGTTTTAAATACAGGTATTCACACCCATTTTGATCCTCGGACTCACACTCTCTCTTGCATCGATCTCTCAGTCTGCTCTTCCTCCGCCGCATTAGACTTCACTTGGTCTGTTCTTCCGGACTTACATGACAGCGATCATTTCCCAATCATTCTTACTTCCCCTTCATATTCACCACCTCTTCGCATCCCACGCTGGCAATTTGATCAGGCAAATTGGAACCTTTACTCACACCTAACTGTTTTTAGAGAGGTTCCTTCTTCGTCCTCCATCGATGAGCTTTTACACCTCTTCTCGTCCTCCGTTTTAACCGAAGCTTCTCATTCTATACCCCAAACTTCAGGCAGGCATTCTCAGAAATGCGTGCCTTGGTGGTCTCCTGCTTGTGCTCGTGCAGTACGTTTGAAACGCGCTGCATGGGGCAGGTACCGGTACAATAGAACCACAGAGAGACTTCTTGATTTTAAGCAGAAGCGTGCGATTGCTCGCCGTGTCATCCGTGATGCTAAACGCACTTGCTGGCGAGATTATGTCTCCACCATCGCCTCTGCTTCCTCTATGAGTGCAGTCTGGAAAAAAGTACGAAAACTGAGTGGTAAATATTCTCCTGACCCGGCTCCTGTTCTGCGGGTTGCCGGTGTTGATATAGCAAACCCACTAGATGTTGCCAATGAAATTGGCAATCATCTGGTCCGTATTTCTCAGGGACTCCATCTATGCCCCTCATTTCTTTCCTCAACGTCTGCCAGAGAGTTAGCACCCTTGGACTTTTCTTCTCTCAGAGAAGAACAGTATAATGTGCCTTTTACACTTCAAGAACTGGAGGCAACACTCTCAGCTTGCTGATCATCGGCAGCTGGGCCCGACGACATTCATATTCGTATGCTACAACATTTACATCAGTCAGCCCTTGCAGTCCTATTACGCCTTTACAATCTTATTTGGTCACAAGGAGTTCTTCCACAGCTGTGGAAATCCGCCATTGTTCTCCCTTTCCGCAAACCAGGCACTATGGGACATGAAACCTCCCACTATCGTCCCATTGCTCTTACCAGTGCAGTTTGCAAAGTGATGGAAAGCCTAGTAAATAGACATTTAGTGTGGTATTTAGAGACACACAACAGTCTCTCCACTCATCAATATGGCTTTCGTAAGGGACGTTCTACCATAGACCCCTTACTACGCTTGATTACGTATGTTCGTAATGCCTTTGCGAATAACCACTCAGTTATTGCCATATTTTTTGACCTTGAGAAGGCATATGACACAACTTGGAGGTATAATATTTTAGCCCAAGCCCACTCCTTAGGCCTTCAAGGCAATCTACCATCCTTCCTTAAGAACTTTTTAACTAACAGGCATTTCCGTGTTCGGGTTAATAATGTGCTCTCCCCGGACTTTATCCAAGCTGAAGGTGTCCCCCAGGGATGTGTTCTGAGCACAACACTTTTTCTCCTTGCTATTAATGATTTGGCCTCTAGTCTTCCATCAAATATTTGGTCATCACTATGTTGATGACTTCGCTATTGCCTGTGCAGGCGCTGACTGTCACCTTATTACAGTTTCTCTCCAGCATGCAGTCGACTGTGTTTCCAATTGGGCCACCACACGTGGGTTTAAATTTTCCAACACTAAAACCCACCAAATTACTTTCACTAGACGCTCTGTCATCTCCGATCATCCTTTGTACCTCTATGGCTCCCGTATCCCTGAACGTGATACAGTCAAGTTTCTGGGCCAACTCTTTGATCGTAGGTTATCCTGGAAACCTCACATTACCTCTCTGAAGGCAACTTGTCACAGCCGGCTGAACCTTCTTAAAACCCTTGCTCATCTTTCATGGGGAGCTGATCGTCGAACCCTCCTTCGCCTACATTCCACCCTTATCTTATCGAAACTTGATTATGGTGACCAGATCTATTCAGCGGCATCTCCTGCTACTCTCTCTAGCCTTAACCCCATTCATCACCAAGGTTTACGTTTATGCCTTGGTGCTTTTTGCTCTTCCCCTGTCGAGAGCCTCTATGCAGAAGCGAACGTTCCATCCTTATCCGATCGCCGTGATGCCCATTGCCTTCGCTACTATGTACGCTCTCATGATCTCCGCAATCCTTCCATTTATAGAATGGTCACTGATATTAGTAGACATTCTTTATTTGTTCGTCGCCCCTGTTTACTCCGTCCCTTCTCTCTTCGCCTTCATTCGCTCGTCTTCTCTTGAATTACCACCTTTCTATGTACATGTAACATCTCACTTTTCCCTACCCCCTGGGAAGTTCCAGCTGTTCGAGTCTGTTCTTTCTCTCTCCCTTGCTCGAAAGCCCAACTGTCTACGGTCGCTTCCCGCTCTCTTTTTCTTGACCACTTTCACTCTCATTCTCATGCCATTGCTGTGTACACAGATGGGTCTAAGTCTTCTGACGGCATAGGATTCGCAGCAGTGTTTCCGGACAGCGTCGTACAAGGGCATTTACTATCTTCGGCTAGTATTTTTACTGATAATTGTATGCCATCCTTACAGCACTTATCCGTATTGCATCTATGCCTGTGTCATCATTTGTGGTTGTCTCAGACTCCCTTAGTGCTTTACAGGCTATACAGAAATTTGATACACCTCACCCCTTAGTCCTCCGTATCCAACTTTGGCTACGCCGTATCTTTACCAAGCATAAAGATATTGTTTTTTGTTGGGTCCCTGGTCATGTTGACGTACAGGGCAATGAACAGGTAGACACTGCTGCGCGGTCAGCAGTACATGACCTACCAGTTTCATGTAGAGGTACTCCATTTACGGACTATTTTGTTGCAATATCTTCCCAACTTCACACCCGTTGGCAACAACGTTGGTCTACTATGCTCGGCAACAAACTTCAATCTATTAAACTGAGTATAGGTTACTGGCAGTCTTCTTATCACCGGTGTCGAGGTTGGGAGACTACTCTCTCCCGTCTTCGCATTGGCCATACTCGTCTTACTCATGGATATCTCATGGAGAGGCGCCCTGCTCCTCTCTGTGAGAATTGCCAAGTTCCATTATCAGTCAGCCACATTCTGTTGGACTGCCCACTTTATCAACGAGCACGCAGAATTTACCTCCGTCGTCGTCTTCACTCTGCTGCTCTCTCTCTACCTTCCCTTCTCGCTGATGGACCCACCTTTCATCCAGACTCTCTCATTGACTTTTTGACAACAACTGACTTACTTCACAAATTCTGATACCTTCAGCCCTTTCTACTTCAATCTCTTGCTACCCTCTACCCCCGTACTATCCCCTGCCCCGCTGTTTTCTGTAACCTACTGATCATCCCTCCTCCCTTCTGCCATCCAATACCCTCGCTTCCTTCCCTACCCTGCAGCGCTGTATATATAGCCCTTGTGGCTTAGCACTTCTTTTTGATTATAATAATAATGTAGTGTAAAGCACGCTTCTGCCAAGACAGTGATGGAGTGAATGATGGTGAAAGTTTTTCTTTTTCGGGCCACCCTGCCTTGGTGGGAATCGGGCAGTGTGATAAAAAAAAAAAAAAAATAATCACTAAAAACGCTGTGATAATATGAAATGTTCTGACTGTATGCGTGGATGCGACCACACTGGCTGGCTTGTAAACACTGGCACCCACGGGACAACTGAGGCACACTCGGGCCACACGTGGACATGTCTTGAACGAATCGCATTGGGTGAGTTTTTTAGCATTAGCCGAGGCAAAATTTTTGCGTTAAAATGTATCGTTAGCTGGATTTAACGTTAGCTGATGCCATCGTTAGCTGAGGGTCCAATGTACTTGCAATAAGCATCCAGTAGATATCCCATGACTTAAAAATGTCATAGATGCATTTCACTTTACAATACTTTGACTTTACGATGTTGCGATAGCGATGCTGTACAGTACTGTACATTTAATGACAGGATAAATTTATATTCATTTATTTACTTTTCAATATTGGCATTTAGTTACAGTAATTATTTGTTTATTATTCAGTGTCAGTTATTTATTCGCTTGTTTACTTATTGCATTTTATTTACTGTCGGCTTGCGATGTTTTCAATTTACACTGAGTTCATACTAATGTAACCCCATTGTAAATCGAGGAGAACCTGGATACTATTATTTAAATGGTACTTGCAATAAGCATTCAGTAAATATCACATGACTAAAAAATGTCATATGCCTGAAGTTCAATAAATTTTGCAATTTGTTACCTTGTCTGTGGAGCTGATGGTAAAGAGATAGATAAAGCTGACCGAGTTGGCACAATTACCTGTAGTGAGGGGTAGTGAGACTAACGGAGGGAGGAGGCAGATTGCTACTAGAGGTGGGTAGTGCTCCTGGTTGGCCCTGCTGACTGCTGTTGCTGCTGTTGCTGCTGCTGCTGCTGCTGCTGTTGCTGCTGCAACTGCTGCTGCTGCTGTTGTTTACTACTGATTTGTTCTGCTCCACGATCCTTCGAGAGACGAGGGGGGACACATGGGGGGGCAGGTAAGTGGGAGGGTAGCGGCTGCTGTGGGAGAAATTTTTTAAATGGAATTAAGATAAAACTGACCTCAAGGTATTTATCAATTACAACTTCATTAGGCATGATCACTTTGATAATGCCTTTCTGGCTTGCCTCTTCAATAGCCTTCTTTAAAAGAATAACAGTGATTTTTGAAAATGATAAGGGAACTAAAAATACTACTGTACTTAAATGCAGAACTTTGTAATAAAAATATTCATTAAACATTTATATTTACTTCAAATACCTTCCTGACAATGGCTCCAGCTATGATTTAGAGCTCAGGTTATATGTTTCAAATAGACTGCATCTCAAATTATCAAATACTGTATAAAGCTAGTACAGTCTAGCTGAGAGGCAAGCTAGCATTACAAATACTGTACATTAAACTTTTAAATACTTATAATAAATGGAATGTCATGTTAATAAATGTTGTACCTAGCAATTAATATACAAGATATATTCAGATTACAGTTTCAAAATAAGTGCATGTACTTTAATTCTGGAACATTAGTTACATTATAAAAGATAATAAATGTCAATTATTTGAAATATTTTGAGCCAATTTTTTTAAGATAGCAGCAGCCAAGCGCAGGCCATAAGCAAAGGTTCAATTTACTCCAATTATGGTTTCATTCTACACTGGCTTATATGCAAACTTAATTGACTGACATGTATATGAAATTTTACAAAAGCTGTAACAATTAAGCATAATTATTGATACAGTACACAATTAACCCACAAACTGAGGGTGAAACTAGACAAAGTTTCCATCCATCTCAAACCATCATTGTGACATAGTAATGGTCCAAGACTGATCAACATGTCTCTTAGTTTTATCTCCAATTTGTCGATTATTTGTGAATTGCTCCAGCCGTGGTATCGAGACTCATTCTTCTATTAGTACAGCATATACAGATGTAAATATGATGAACACAAGTCTATAATACAGAGCTTCATGGCATGCATATAACAAATATGAAATTATAAAAATATATATAAAAAATACATATAGCAGTGACTCCATGATGAAGTATTAGCATGCTGGAACAGGAAGTTATAATAACAAAACATAAGTCATAACACACTTTATCATGCTAAAACAACAACCATAAACCAACTTAAATTTCTAAATAAAAAGCTAAGATTCTTGGAGAAAAACCTAAGCTTTAAAGGTTAAATGTAGAATCAATAACAAAAGACAACTGTCTTAAATATACTCTTGACTCGTACTTTCTTGAGAGGCATTATTTTATATACTGATAGTGTAACATTTGTCAATGAATGTACAGTACCAACACCTAACCAGAAACAGTTTGTAAAAACTGTTTAAGTCATGGATTTTTCTGTGAGAGCTGTGTATTCTTGCATAAACACTTGACACACTTACAATCACAAGTTAAGTAGATATTACTATTGGACAGGACCCAACCTCTTTAGTAAGATACCCATTGAAGAGGTTCACTAAACTGTTTGGTATATAGATATGCTTATCAATAATTAAGATATGTTATTTTATTTTACCATCACTAATAATTCACTGTAACTACAAAGTACCAATAGCACTTCCAGTAGCAAATTAAACTATAATAGAGAGCTTTCACTGTAGCAAAGTAAGATATCATACTTCTTTATTTCACTCTTCTCTCGTTCTGTCTTCTTTCCCCTATTTATCCTTGTTTTGTCCTCGGTGCCATTATCGTAGCCAATGAGGCTGACCTCCGCTGCATTTAATCTCGGCATAATTTGAAAATTCATAAAAGTTTTCACTGCTGTGAAAGTTAAGGACAGGCGTCCATTATGTGAGGTTAGTCACAATACTAAGGCACTTAAATGCTCTTTTTTGTAAGTGAATGTTTCAAATGCCTATGCCGATTTACATGAGGATGATTATAATTTTATGTGAAGTCATCATAATTTGGGTAACAATTTAATGGAGTAGTTGGTACTTGAAACTGCACACTGACATTACCAGCTGCATATCTTAATCCACTGCACCACATAGGTGCTATGGACCACAGCACTGGGCTGGTAATTCCAGACAAATAGGTTCAAATCCCAATCACTTAACTGAAAAAAAAGAGAGGAATAGGTTTGTCAACCTCGGCTTTGTGGACAGACCTTAAAAATATGAAAAGTTTTCTGTTGCTTGTGTCTCAATAGACTAGCAGTGTATAAAGGGGAAGATCATGATGTAACTTCTGGTCCTCATAACTACAGGTCTAGATCTGCATATCAATATATCTTGAATTTTAAAGTGTGGTTAACCCAGATACTGACTTCAGTACTGTATATACACTCAATGAATGAATGTTGCACAAAGATTTAGTCTACACATTGACAACACTAAATCATGCAATATAAATACAATCTGTGTGTTGCTATGAACGTTCTCATTAAATAAAGTGTACCTTTCTCTTGTACAACCTATGTGGTCACACACATTTTCATCATTATAATGTAAAAGTGTATCTTTCTCTTGTGTAACGTATGTGATACTATTTTTTTTTTTAAACACACCGGCTGTCTCCTACCGAGGCAGGGTGATCCAAACAAAGAAGAAATACTTTCACCATCATTCACACAATCAGTCTGCAGAGGCATGAAGATATGACAGTTCAGATGTCACTCCAAACAGCCAATATCCCAAACCCTGCCTTTAAAGTGTAGGCACTGTACTTCCCACCTCCAGGACTCAAGTCCACTTCAAGTGCACCTTTCCTTTATGACTATCTCTCTGTGATATATGCAGGCAATGTATATGATCTGTGTATTTTTTTTTAAGAGTGATTAATACACGAGTTCAGCCATCTGATTTTCTTACACATTACATTTGTCTATAAAATGTCCTACCTCATGTTGTAAAATTTTAAAATACATATCTTGAAATTAGTTTCTTCAAAACTTAAGATTTAAGTATAGTTACCAATATAATCACAAGAAGTGCATTTATCCCAGAAAATGGTAGGTTAACTGGAATTATATTTTACAAAATTGATGGCATAATCAATGATAATTATGTATAACAAAGTTCTCTATTATATCATGATAATAATGAACATTTAGCATTCAAAGGCATTGCTTATTTGCATTATGTAGTAGGTTTATGGTGAAAGATTGTTGAAATATTTAGATGTATCTGGCAAGTGTTTTTTCTAACAAGTACCTGGCAGTAGCTTGGTATAGTAATAGTCTGACCTTAGCAGTCAGGTCTTTCTGGTGACAGTTTGGTATTTCTATTAACAACTTTATTCAATCTCCGGTATGGGTGGAACCATTAGGATGTGTTTTCTTAAGACACTGGCTGTCCATGTTCAACTATCAGTACCAGGGTGTTAGTGGACTGGTGTGGGTCGCATCCTGGGAACAAAACTGATCTAATGGTAATATGTCACTGATGTCAGATAGGCCTGTATACTGTGTACATGTACTTGTAGAAGTAATTATTATTACGTATTATTAAATTCCCATAATACAACAAACACAACAAAGAGAGAGTTCATTTATTACAAAAAACAGGCAAACTTAAAAAAATCCATGACTGGTTAGCTGTTACATTGTGAGTACTTCCTACAGTGTCAAATTAATGTCTTAAGCCTTGGCTAACACTTGCAATGGAGTCACATATTCAAGACAAAATTTACTTCACCACAGGGGTTAAGCAAATACAGTGGTACCTCGGGATACGAACAGCTCAAAACTCGAACAATTATGTAAGTGTATTTATGCAAATGATTTCCTAAGTATATTTTTGAGGGTCTGAAATGGGTTAATCTAATTTACATTATTCCTTATGGGAACAAATTCATTTGGTATCGGCACTCGAACAGCCTTCTGGAACGAATTAAGCTCGTATCCCAAGGTACCACTGTATATGAAACTATAACAAAAAAGAATATTAAGTGCTAATTAAAGCTACCAATATTGGTAACCAGCTGAACCTCACAGTGTTCCAAGTCAATGAACAAACTATCATTTGGACCATAACCAATTCATTACATATAATTTATATAAAATAAAATATTGTAGTCTTAAAAATCTATCATACCAAATGCATGTGATCATAAAAAAGGTGAATATAAATTTAGGAAAAACACAAACCAAAAATATCTAAGATGAAAAGGGGTCTAAAATCTGTGCAAAATGTATACATACACAATATATCTCATACAAGACAAACAATAATAATAAAAATTTCTAATGGTATTTTGCAGACATACTTCAAAATTAAAAAAACACTAGCCCTTAGAAAAAGGTATATCAAGCTTCAAATAAAATAAAAAAAAAATCAGAGAAACTGGTAGGGTGGCAAGACATGATATAATGATGAGAATTCTAAGGAAAATAGACAAATGATTCCCTTCTCACCACATGACTACAACTGCAGCAACTCATCCTTCTAAACCAACACTGCATTTTTACCATGATTCAAGAACTTTGAAAAAGGAACATTTGGTTTTTATGGTCATTTTGGTCATGCTTCCTCAAAGTTCTCATTAGTTTCTTGTTTGATGTTCATGAATAAAAAATACCTTATTTTTTTAGACACTAATTCATTTAATGGTAATAAACTATTATATAACTTTATTTTGGTTAATGATGAATGCAAATTAAATAGTAATAAACAACTTTGAATGAATAAACAGAAGGATGGATGAGGGGGTTGAACCATGGTCTGCAAACTGGCAGTACTATATCGGACTGTCAATTTATGGACTACGGTTTGAGCCCCTCGTCCTCCCTCTGGGTAATGAAGTTAACCTAACAATGCAGATAAACTCATGAAAAGAAGTTGGCCTAAATATATATAAAATATAAAACAAGGTTGACATTAGGAGAATAGGTTAACTGCAGGTCTACTGTATATTCAATACTGTATATCTCCCAAAACTAGAGAGTACTTGGGCTGCTGATGTCCCACTTGGCTATAATACTACTATAAGCATCTACAAAAGGAATCTTATATCATGAAGGACAATCATAAAGTTTATTCTCAAACCGGATAT